TAGGTACCCTACTTCTTTTTATGCATAATTTAAAATTAAATAAAGTACTCATATTTGTATAGGTAAAAATAATAAATTCTTTTAGATGAAATTTAAAATGAAATTGAATAAATTCTTATGGTATTTCCTCTAGCAAAAAATTCTATACTTAAAATACTGAAATAAATTCATAAGCATCCTTATAAATACAAACTAAAATTAAACGTGTGTTGGTGTGCTAATATAAAATATTCAAATATTAAGAAAATATTGGAATAATTTTTAAAAAAATTTATAAAATTTGAAAAACAGTAACAAAATTAAAAACGAAGGAAAGGACTTACACACACGGTTACCTAATTTAAACATTGTTTATGTTAGAAAAATCTGGAATTTATTTAAAATTTTTTTTAGGGCTTTATACAAACAACAAAACCTAAATTAAAACTGTTGAACAAATGAATTAAAATTTATAGGTTTTTTCTTTGAATTTAATTTTAAAAATATAATTATGCAAACACGTGCTTTTTGATATAGAACTCATCCATAAAAGTACAACCATAGATACCTAAACATGATTAAGAGAAATCTCTTATCAAGATATATAAAATTAATTTTTCGATTCCGAATTTTAAATGTTAAAAACAAGAAGTTCTGTTGATTAAAACTGACATTTTAACATCTATGATCAATATAACGTGAAAGCTTTTATTTAAAGTGATACATATATATGTATAACAGATTTGTATAACAATTTTTTCATTCAAATTCTCTAATTTAAACAACAAACTGTCAAAAAAAGAAGTTCAGTATTGAAGTTTGATAAATTTTCATTCATGAAATCTTATACAAAATACAGCGTAGTTTCTAGAAAAACTTTAAAAGTACAATAAATAAAAATTCAAATTTATTGCCATTTAAATCAAAATTATAGAAATTATTAATATCTATACTGATTGACTTAAAATTATGAGCAGCAAATTCTCTCTATTCTATTGTTAAATTGAAATTCATAATTTATTATATTATTTTATTTTATTAATATTATAACATTCATCTTAATAAATTTTTGGACAAACACCTTTATTTTTTTACTTTATTCAAAAAATTCAATCTATTTCATCAATTTATTTTTAATAGGATATCTTCAAAACTGATAATATAATAAATTACCCTATGAATGTAATGTGAAACACATACATACGTATTTATTAAAATAAAATCATATTAAATCAAATTGACATATTTGACAATTTGACATATAATGTCAGAATTTTTTTTTTGTTTCATGAAAATTAATAAAAATATGACTTTATAAATGAATGTGTGTACAAAATAATATCCTTATTTCCACCAAAAAAACAATTTATATAATATATTAAAACACCTGCCAATTAAATATGCCATGTAAATGTCACTCAGTTGTCAATTAATAATAATCTATTAATGTATATAGTTATAATAAAAATTTATTATTAAAGGTTAATAATTATGGCATACTTTAAAATATTTTTTTTTTTTTACTTATTTCTTGAAACAACCTTATATCCTTGTGTATATAAGGAAATATATATATAGAAACAATCGATATACAAAAGTATACTGTATCACTGAACATACACTTTCGGGGCGATTTAAATTTTCTCGCTTTGCAATTTTTTAATAATTTTTTGCTAAAAAATCTAAAAATAATTAGGCCAAAAGTTCCTCTTTATTTGTCCTAAAAATCCTATTGACGAAGATATTTTCGTTTTCCATCCTTCATTTTAGAAACGCTTCATGAATGTAAATCGGTATTAAGGTGTAACTATACAAAATTTACATATTTAGGCTCTTCATATACAGATGCATGTTATTATGATCCGAATAGATTTTTAAATGAAAAATATTCGACAAAAAAATCAAAAATTTATTATTCCAAAACAAATTCAAAAACCTTTTTGATCTACTCCAAAAAAGCCTAATTTCCTCAAATAAATTTTCATTACTTAATGAAAATTTATTTGAGGAAATTACATTAGTTTTCCAATTTGTGAATTTAAAGTTTGTACATCATCGCACTTTACTTGAAATCACAGCGTAAATCTAATATCATAAATAATTGTGCTACAATTTATAATTGTTATTACCATTAACTCGATCACAAGTTTATTTTAAATTAATTCCTCAAAGTATGACTCAAGTTTTGTCTTAATAGTCTTAAAACTGCTGGTTGATTGCTATAAGGTATCAAAAATAAAAATTTGTTTATGTTCAAATTTTTTGAGGAAAAAATTTCAAATTTCAACCGAATTACGTTTATTTTTTTTTTTTTTTACCTTCTTCACTCCTAGGAGGAGTATAGGGCTAGTGCATGATATCTATCATGCCCTAGTTTCTATAGTCATAGAGAGTTAGCTAGGTAGGTGACTAGTCTACCGTAGTGTTTATTTATATTAAATATTTCAATTTATTAATATTTACTGTTTATTTTTCTTAGGCTTTAGTATCGAATATTATGAATATTTGGAAATTACTTGTATAATATTTATTAGTATTGCATATTAAGTTATATAATATTGAATATAATTTTTATAGTGACCTGGCCGGGACGTTTATTAAGGATTCTAAATTTAAACTGAAATAAAAATTTAGAAACTAGAAAGAAAAAAATTTTTACAAACCTTATTTTTTTTTGTTTAAATAAAAAGTTTACTCGTTTTTGCTCGTATATTTTAAAATTTGCTCTACACATACAAAAATATAATCAAAAAAATAATCTTGCGGAGTGTAAAATCGGATTAAAAAATTTTTATGAATTTATTTAAAGAAAATTTTTTAAATATTTTTTATAAACAATTTTCCTAATGCTCATATAATTTTTTCATCCTACGGATATGCAACATACATATATATTTTTGTATACGTAATTTTTTAGCATTCTTTTTTTTTCATTCTTCTAAAATTCTATAAGAATAGAAGAATCATTTTTCCATTTTGTTTTTTATATTAGTTTTCATTAAATATAAAATTATTTATTATTTAAATTTTTAAATTATTTTCAAATCTTAAAAAAACAAAAACAAACAAAAGAATATCGAAATGTATGTGCACTTGTGTATAATATTTCTTTTATTTATGAATAACATTAATTATAAAAAAAAAAATTTATATTTTCATGGTATACAAAAATCTTTTTTATTATTTTTAAAATCTTAATATTCTTCTGAAAATATTATATATTTAGATTTAGTTTTATAATAAATTTATTTAATTTTTTAGAAAATAAATTTGAAATTTATAAATAAAATTAGAATTAATGAATATATAAAATTGCCTATGGGTAATCGGGTATGGGTAAATTATATAAGATTTTTTTTTTTACGATTGGCACAATTTAAATAATAATTTTGCTTTTGTTCTGGAAAAAAAAAATGCTTTTAGAAAAGAAAATTCTTAAGATTTATTCAAAATCAAATATAAATAAATTATAATTAATTTATTTTCAATTTAAAAATTCTATTAAAATTTTAGTTATATGCAAGTTTCCATAATAAATATAATTATTCAAAATATATTTATTATAGAATTTTCACTGTACTTGTTGTAAAATAAATTATGCTCGAATTGATTGAAAATTTTTACACTTTACATCCAGTAACGGGAAAAATTATGATAAAATCATGTAAAATTTTTAATAATTTGTGGCTTTACTCGAAAACCATTAAATTAATAAATGTTATGAAACATTAAATTATGCAACAAATGAGAGAGAAAATTTATTTTACTCCGAAATAGATGATTTTATAAATTTATTGAGTAACGTTTACGGAGTAAAGTTATGGAGTAGCGGAATAATTTTCAATGACAAAGTATAATTTTTTTGTATATTAAAGTTATTTCAAGGTTTACTCCAATTTTCTGATTATTTGATCGTGTAAATTATCACTCCTAATGTCTCCTCTCCTCTCCTATCACTCCTAATTATTGCGAGTATTTACATTTCCTCTATAATATTGCAGTGAATTTAACTTAAATATTTCTTACAGTATAATTGATATATTGGTAGAAAATTTAATTAATTTAAAAAATAATTATTTTAGATATAAAAAATTTACTTATTTTTATTTCGAAAATGTATGTACATATACATAAAACTGTTTCTACCTTATTCTCTTCTCACTAAACAACATTAATTTAGAAAAAACCAAAATTGTTATTCTCTTTGTTTTCATTTTAGCATTTTAGCTCAACATATTGCTGGCTACCTTAAAAAATAATAAATCATCTCAACATTTTCTATTTTCTTTGTTTTCATAAAAGAAAAAATGAAAAAAAAAAAAAACTAGTGATGTTTTCATAATTTATAATGTCAAAAATATATCAAAATATTTTTCATATAAAATAAAATGTCTCATCACTTTTAATGTCCTTTACACATATTAATAATATATCATAAATTTTTTTTTTCTTTGTGCAATGATAGTCCTACTTGTCATTTCGATTACCCTACGTTATATGTACTGAATATTAAATTCAACATTATTATTACATACACAACATATAAATACAAGTGTGTATTAATAATATTTTTTCTGTATTGAATATGGGTGGGGAGAAAATAAAAAAAACACAGAGTATACCTGCAAAAAAAAGGACATTTTTTTATATATTTTATTTTTTATAATATTTTTATTATTGCTAAAATATATACATATAATTTTTTTTATGATATTTTTTTTATTTACTTTATAATTATATTTATTTAAGGAAAAAAAATTTAATGATTTTTTAATAAAATTTTAAAATAAATAAAAAAAAAAAAACAAACAATAGATTATAAGCAAAAAAAAAAATTATAACAATAATGTAAATTTTTTTTTTCTATCTTCTTTATTATTCTGATTGCATTCGTGTATGAATTTTTGAAAAATATACGAAAATTAACCTCGCACAATAAACCTTAATCATATATCAAATAAAAATTATTAAATATATATATATATATATGAAAAACAAAACCCATATATATATAAATATAGTATGAATTACGATTAGCGGCATCAGATAATCTTAAGGAAAATTATACGACAGTTATTATACATGTTAAAGATGTCAACGATAATCCACCTGTATTTGAACGTCCAACATATCGTACACAAATAACAGAAGAAGATGATCGTAATCTTCCGAAACGTGTTTTACAGGTCCTTAAATATATAAAAAGCAAAAATTATGCTTTATTGTTTTGTGTTTTTTTTTTCTTATTATAGAAGTTTTTTGTCTTTTATTTAAAAAGTATTTAAATTTTTTTTGAAAATAATTTTCATGAGTTCATAAATTTTTCGTATACTTAAATAATTTCTTCGCATTTATACATAAAAATTAATTATCAATTTTTTTTTAATGTAGCCGAATTACTTAATTCATAGTGCCTTGAATTTCATTTTGTTTATACATTATATAATTTTTGAATTCCATTCAAATTTGAAACGATTGCCAGCTTATATCACTTCAATTATGTTTGAGCTGAATTTAATTTAAAAATCTTATTATTACATTATGAAATTCAAGGATATTTTTGATAAGATAAAATCAATGGTTTTGCTTTTGTAGTGACAAGAGTGTTTTTATTTTATAATTAAATGCTTAAATATTTTATTACAATATTTACAAATTATTTGAAATTATGTACAAAAATTAGAATTTTTTTCAATATTATCTATTTATAATTTTTAATTTTTTATAAAACAGGATTTGAAATATTGCAATTATTAATATGAATTTCAAAAGTTAATTCAATTTTAAAAATTGTTATTATCAGAATTTTTAATAGTTTTCATAAAGAAAAACGCGGTTTTAGCTGAAAATATTTAAATAATTTATTATTTTTTACGATATTTTTTAAAATATTCATATTTCAAATTTGAAATTTTCAAAATTAAATGTATAAAATATTCAAATCCTGATTTTAAATTGCGGTTTCATTTAAAGAAAATTTTGTGCTTTATTAGACATTAGTGCAATATCATTTTTTTTTTTTATTTTCATTTGAATGTGTGTGTTTTGTCTTATTTCATTTAGTAAAAGTTTTCAATATTTAAAATAAAATTACATTATTCAATTTAAATTATATAATATAAATTTAATCGGAATATTTAATTTTTATGAAATTATTATGAAAGCTACAAATATACAAATACGTGTTAGACAATAACTAATAATAATTTGTATAATATGAAATGTTTATTATTCTTACATCTTAATTATTTTAAGAGTAAAATATCAATTACTCTTAAAATACTTTAATGTGATACAAGCTACAATCACATTGTTTATAAATATTTTATTCTTATGACAGTGAATTGGTGCATGAGAAAGAGAATTCTCTTTAATTTTGAAATTTTTTTGTTTATTTCTCGTCAGATTTTTAGTGGTAACTTTATAATTTTTTAATATAATTTCAAACTAATAATATAGTATTTCACTTAAATACTATTATGTCAAATGTATCTTGGAATTTTAATTGAAATTCAAAGTTAAATATTAACAGAACAAATTATATGAAATTTTATTCTTATTTAATTTACACTGTAAACTTTAATTTTAATATTTTCTGTTAAAATAGCAACCAACTGCACTTTACAGAAATTCATTGGAATAAAATTTCATTTGCATTTAATTCAATTATGAAAAATTTCATATTATATAACAATTTAATAGTTAACAAAAAATTACAAGAATTTTGTCAGAACACTCAAAAATATTTGCATTAATACAAGTACATTATAAGTTTCTGTACAATGAAATGAAAACTTACAGATTTTACAAATTACAAGATGCAAAATTTATTTTCGAGTATGGCTTTTCTTGAAAATTAACACGAAAAAATGTTGTTTTTTTATTTTATACAAAAATATTAAAGAGAATTAATTTAAAAAATTAAATTACATGCAACATTTTTTGCGATTGTATTTTTACCATAATATTTTTTTCCGCTCGAAAATTGGTTCTCTTTTTTTCTAAGATTTTAATTTTTTTTTCATATTTTTTATGTGAACTTTTCCGATAGCTGTAATAATTATTGCCCAAAAACCTTATGAACAAATTTTTATTTCTTCTTCAATTATTTTATTAATTATCAAGAAAAAAAAGGGAAAATATCAATTTGAAATTTATTTTTTTCAAAATATTTTGACATTTTTTTTTGAAAATTTCCGAAAAAAAATTTCAAATATAAAAAAAATTCTTTTAATTTTTTTTTGTATGTCAAAACCTACTTAAGCGTGTTATTACTTACTTATATGTATGATTCGTTATAAAAAAAGGAATAAAATTTTCCTTTCTGTTTTTTCTTTCCACAAAATATTTCGTTTTTTTTTTTCTGAATGAACAAGGATCAAAGTTAAATCAGATTCGAATACAAAAGGTTAAAATACTGATTAATTAACATAATATAAATATATTATATAACAATAATAACAATAATAACAATAAAATAAACAAAAAGAAATAAAAAATCATGGAAAGGAACAAAAAATTCAATTAATTCTTTTCGTTATTTTCTTTTAATCCTTTATTACCTTGTATTTTCATAAATAATTTTTAATAATTACCGATATATGTATACATATATCATTATTATTTATATACAGATGTGTACTTATTTTCCAGTACAATAATTAAATAATTTTGTACTACATAATATTTGTATGCCAAATATTTAGCGTATATATAAATAGATATAAAAATTTCATGCACAACCATAAAATGTATGCTATAATACATAATATACACAATAATTTAAATATTGCAATATTATATTATAATATTAAAGAGTTTCATTATTTTTTATTTTAACTTGCCTATTAATTAAATCATAATAATAAAAGGATAACAGCTATCCACTAAAATGTTATGAAAATAACAATAATATTAATACTTTCATAACAATACACTCTTGTATACAGCAATGTAATATGCTCTTGTGTACAGCAATGTACTCTTTCAGCTGTAAGAGAACATGTAGGAGAAAAAATTATTTATAATATTTTTTATAATAAAATTTTGATGAAATGAATATTGTTCATCGGAATAATTTTTGTAACCTTTTCCCTTTTTTTTTTGTACCTTAAATTTTGCATTACGAGTATAACCAAAAATATAGTTATTATTATTATATTATAATATTATAATACAAGGAGAATATAATATGTGTGTTTTACACGAGTATGTAAACATTATTTTTGTTTATGAGTTAAAAAAGGATAAGTTTGAATATCAAAAAGAAAAATGAAATAATTTACCATTTTATGACAATAATTATTCATGTATAAATACACACATAAATTTATGTAATATTTATTATGTAGGTACATAATATTGTATATATACCTAAGTGTATATATATACTTGCCTAAAACAAGGTTCCTATTAAATATATTGGAATTCTCGTTATATATATATATGTAATATTGTAGTAATAAGCAGAGTAAATTTCAGAAAAATAATAATAATTGTGAGGATAATAAAATGATTCTTATTATTTTTTTTTTTTTTGGAAAATTTTTAAAAATACTTTTTGATAATAATTAATGAACCAAAATTTATTTTTTAATTATATAATGTTACATACAGTGTGTTGTTATCACAAATAAGAATCACAAAATAAAATCTGAATCAAAAATTCAGGTTACGGTCAGTAATTGTAAGAACAAATTATAAACATTAAAAAATTATTAACTAAATATAGTATAACATTGTTGCTATTGAAATTATAGATAAACTTCTTTATTTTCCAAATGCACTCAATCAAAGTTATTACTGCCTTTTTTCTGAAAAAACTGTTTCTTATAATTTCGCTAATATACTGACATTGAAAAATATAGGTACTCATAAATTTTATAATTGCGAGGCTTAGTAATATATAAAAAATTATTTAAAAATTATTTTCCGCCCTGTAGTACCTATAAGTATTTACTTAATTATAAAAGTTATTATGAAGGATTTTAACTTCATTGCATTCCAATTCCTTAATATATAATATGTATAACAAAATGTATTTTATGTTCTACTCGTACTAGGTTTTATTGTATACACATGTATATGTTCTTTTGTACTGAAATTTTTAATAAACTTGACATACGTACACGTAACTTATTGAAATCCTTATAATATCTTATACATATTTTAAAAATATACAGTATATATTATACTGATATTGTAAATATGAATAAAAATATTCATTGTCCCATAAGAGTTGTAATATTGGTAATTATTTCTTGTTATTTACCCATATAAATACTTTTGCTTTTATTACTTTTTCCTTTTTCTCTTATTTTCAGTTAATAATTAAAATTTCTCTTCTTGTTTTCTCCATATAATATTTTTATACCTACTATTATATTTTCTCTCAAAGTATTTTATATTGAATATCAATTCATGCACATAAAACTTACATTATAAAGGGAGAGAGAAAAAAGTATTGTATATTCATTTCTCATTTAAATGAGCACTCTAGTGTAAAATAAACAAGAAAAATTATATATGTATGTAAACTAATAATATTCTACTTTATACAACCATAAAAATTTAAGAACATATTGAACATAAACGATATAAAAATTAAAAAAAAAAAAGAGAAATAACCATTAATAAACGAGTATTAAACCAGTAATAAATTTAAAAAATAAAAAAATACATAAATAATAAGAAAATAAAATTTTATGTAACACAAAAAAAAAGGGCTAAATTTTATTTTTTTTTCATTCTCTGACCTCGATCTATAATAATAAATTTGTGCATATAATATAGAAAAGAGAATAAAAAAAATATTTTTACTATAAAATTTTAAAATAATGGTAAATTTAAAAGAAATTGTGTGCAGGTATTTTTATTTTAAGTTTTAAGAGAAGAAAATTTATAGAATTTCGTTAGACCTAATAGCACTATGGTATTTTACATTCAACATTAATAAACATTTTCCTAATGTAATAGTAATAATCATTCCCTCCAACATCATTGATTATTTAAATAATATTGTCAATATTTCTTAAATGATCAATGACAGTTAAAATTCTATAAAACGTACCTAGTTTTCAGCACATAAAAAGCTAAACAGCCAATTGAATTCATGTTATTTTATTAACAATTTTAAGTCAAATTAATTGTATCTCTTTCAATACAACAAGAAAAAAATTCCAAGTTT